CCAGGTGATGGAGGCTGCATTCAGGAAATTTCTAATTGACTAGGGAACATACTTGTGAATAGAAAAGGCAGAACCCAAGCACAGATCTTTTGATACTAAGACATTACTACCACATCTTATTTATAGTGAAAGCAGATATAAATGGATAATGAATACAGTAGTAAGACCAAATAATTCCTTGCTCGAAATGGGGCACTTGCGAGTAAAGGGGGCATTTAATAATCATACGAACAACACAGGCATAAACGAGGACATATGAGCACTCCAGCAATAGCTTTACATAATCTTTTAATTACTGTCTTTAAAAAAATTCAATCGTAAAATGAAATGTTTTAAAAATAAAAATAATGCCACCTACTTCACAGGGTTGTGAAATTTAAGGGATAATTTGTGTAAATCACCCATAAAGCAGCACTTTATATGACCTGTAAAGCATATACAGCACTTTATGAATATAAGAAATTGGGCTGGGGATTTAGCTCAGTGGTTCCCATGCCTGCCTCACAAGTGTAAGGTCCCGAGTTCGATCCCCGGTATCAAAAAAAAAATGAATATGAGAAATTAATTATTTTGTTAAGATCATACACCCCAAAGGTAGGCAGCTTCCTATGTTCTTTGGCTGGCAGTCTTCCTCCCAGCAATTTCACTCCCAATATTTGTCCTTAAAAAACCAATTAGAAATATATGCAGTTACAGAGAAGCAGAGAAGCAGAAAGTTAAAACACTAGAGAATCTGTTGAGAAAATTGAGGCACAACCATAAAATGAAGTAGCATGTTATCAATGAAATCTATCCCACAGAAATATATTTAATGACAATGTGTCAGCCGCTTTAGTTCTTGGGAAAGAAAGATTTGTGTTATGTGTTTCTTTTTTGTAAGAATCTTCTTGTTTTATGTCTTATATTCTGATAACTACTTTGACAGTAATGATACACAGTGTCTTAACTTTTGTTATTCTCTTTATTACTTGTTTATAAAATTTTGTTTTATTTTTTCATAAAATTAAAAAAAATTAAAAATATCATGTATAGCAGTCCATCTTTATCCACAGGGGATATGTTTCAAGATCCCTGGTAGACACCTAATAACTAGTATACAGAGAATACATAATACACAAACCCTATGCAGACTATATTTTTTCCTATAAATATTTATCTATGATAAAAAATTATAAACTAGGCACAGTAAAAGATTAACAGCAATAATAATTATTGATCCAGGGAATACACTGAAATAAATAAAATGATCCTGAAATACAGTACAATAAAAATTACTTAAAACGTATGAAATGCTTATTTCTGGAATTTTCCATTTAATATTTTTGGACTGGAGTTGACCATGGGTAACCGAAACATGGAAAGTGAAACTTGGATGGTGGTGAGGGGACTACTATATAAGTAACCTAAGGAAAATAATCCCAGTTACAGCTAAAGATCACATGGTCTATTATTTTAAATACTCAAAACAATTTTTATAATATTCTGATAGTTTTTATCTTTTAAAAATTCTTAAGTCATTCCACTTGAATTTATTCTGGTATTCAGTTTATCACTTTTTTCTGAGAACTGAGCAGTCAAAGCCATCTTTCAGTTGCTAAATTAAAAACATTTTACAGATTGCTTTCATCCTTGAAGCCACACTTGTCTGAAAACTACACTATGGTTTCGAATAAAACATGCATATATATTACAAAACACGTTTGTAATTTACTTTTACATTTCAATGCTAGCCATTTCCTATACATATCTCTATGCACTAGTCACTACTTCATAAATCAGAAGCTGAATCTCATTTTCTCTCCTTAAAACAAATGTAAGAATGGCTTCTCCAAGTTTTATTTTTTTTTACTTTTGCAAGAGAGATCACAGAACTTTGGTACAGAGAAGAAAGGCTCAGTACTAAATTAATAACAGCTCAAATAAAGCACATAAAAAATAAAAACATACATATAATGCCATTTGAATCTTTTATAAACATGAACAGAAGGAAATGTTTTCACTCATGGAACTCTACTAGAAAGAAGCTGAAGCACTTTTACATAGACCAACCACATATATCCAACTACATATATACACTCTTTAATGTGAGCAAGAGCTTTCTACAAAAAAAAATGAATTCTTCCTTTTTTGCTAAATCTGTTTCTTTACCTAACTTAGTTAATGTTGTATACTCTAACTACTCTGAAGATAATGATACAGTGTATTAACTATTGTTACTCTTATTTTCTTTTTCATAAAATAAAAAGATAATAAAAAAAATCTTACTTAAATCACAATTGGCTGGTAATCTTTGCCCTGCCTACTAATTAAACTGTCTTATATTATTTTAAATTTATGAGACTGCCCATCAATATTGGAATTAAAGTAATTTTAATATATTACTGGAAAAATATAAGATGAGAAGCTAACAGTACCTGTTATGGTTTATGATCTAGAATGCCCTCCAAAGGCCTCTTAAGTTCAGAGGCAGAGCTTCTAGAAGATGACTAGTCACGGGGGCACTATACCTGATTTCTTGTTAGGAGGTGGGTCACAGGGGAGTGTAACCTAGAAGGGTGTATCTCCCCTCTCAGCTCCTCTCTTCACTTTCTGCTTCTAGGCCACCATGAAGTAAGTAGCTCTTTGTCTGCCATGTCCCTCTGCCTTGGGGCAGAAATGGGTCTAGCATGGACTCAACCCACTGAAACTGTGAACCAAAATAAACCTTGCCTCTTTTAAGTTGCCTCCTGTGGGTGTCAGGTATTTTGTTCCAGCAATAAGAAAGTGACTAAGACAGCATGCTAACAATAAAACTGGAATTCTACTATGTTAGGACATGTTTTTAAGTATTGTGATGCTTCCAAATGATATGAGAACCCAAGACAAGTGAAGGAAACAATATGATTGATACAAGAAGATGATGTAGTTTATTTGTGCAACAAGGGTGGATATGAGCTGACCTCACAACACTCATAATGCTGTGGGGGACAAGTAACATGTGAAGGAAGAATGTGACAAAGTGTCCCAGAGGGAACAGGAGAGCTGTATGAGTCAGATGCCTTGCAGGGATGGAGCACCAAACTGAGAAGTAAATATTAATAGCCCAGGCACTACAATTTTTTGATACCAAAAAGAATTCCATCATGCATTCTGCGGCTTTCCTCAGCAATTTCAAAATTTAGAACTCAAGCAGCCATTTAAATGCACAGTCCTTTCAAAATTTCTAAAACCTTGGCCCATATTCAGTTCCTATGAATTTCTGCCTGCATGTAAATCAGTCCATTTTATTCTCAAGATACTTTCTTGTTATAACTGACAAGTTTTCTTCATGAGAAATTCTTGAGCTACTTGTTTGTTTGGGTAGATGGGGGTGGGTAAGTGTAGCACCAACTCAAGACAACTCTTATTATTTATGTTTTGGGGTTTCTAAAACATTTGAATCTTTGCAGTTGTTTTTTATGTCCCCGAATTTTCACACTTTTGTTTTAAATATTTTGTAACCTAGATAATTTAAATAGCAGACAGCAATTAGTATATCAATGATAAATGCAGCTCCTAAATTTAGAAAAAGGAGGCTGAAAACTAGAATGTGCCCTCGCTTAGTCTCCTGATCTAGATCTATAACTAAATAAGAGTAATAATTTAAATTTTTAAAATTCAAAACCAGACACAAAATAGCCAAATAAACGACGTTATCTTAAGAACTATAACTGGTGGGACTATTTGAATCTCACTATAAGACTGTTTTGACATTTAAAATAACTTAGCAAGCACCTATCTCAAAATAGAATAAAATAAAAAGGTGTGTGGGGTGGTAGTTCAATGGCAGAGTGCTTGTCTAATATGTACAAGGCCCTAGGTTCAAATCCTAGTACCACCAAAAAGGAAAAACAAAAACTTTTTTTTAAATCCTTATTTGAAATAAACAGAGGCCTCTCTAAATAGCTGATAACATGTTATAAAAACAATGATTTTTCAAATTAAATTCCCTTATTTTGCAGACTAGCTACTTGTATATTCACCAGCTAAGCTGTTTTCCTGCTAGCAACTTGAATTCCTATTTAAAAACTGTGCCAGCTCCTCTTGGGTGTTCTGGTGATGAAAACGATTTTCCTTAAGTGTTAGCCAAGACATTTTCACTATATATCATCTTATGAAAAAGCCACAACATTAGGGCACACCACAGTGACCAGGCAGGGAAAAAAACTAAAACAGAATTATTTGGATGTTTAAAATAACAGAGGGAAAAAAAGGATCCATTAAAGGTAATATGCTAGGTGGGAATGGTGGTGCACACATGTAATCTCAGCACGCAGAAGGCTGAAGCAGGAGGATTGCCAAGAGCTCAAGGCCAGCCTGAACTACAAAGTGAGACCTTGTCTCAAAAAAAAAAACCAACCTAATTAATATTTTATATATTACAATTTGGCTCCTTAAATTAACTGAAGTATTAAATTACTGATTTCTTTTTAAAAAGCTGGATGTGTCCTCTAAAGTACTTTCCTTTTGTATAGTTCTGGTTTTAAATGCAAACAAATTAAAACAAGAAAGAATAGTACATAATAATCATGAGTTCCAGGAAACGTACCTGAAATAAAGATACTACTAAGTAGAAAGTTAGGCAGCTCTAAAATACTTTTTAACCCAAGAATCCTGGTCATTTGAAGTATTATAGTCTATGTACTGCTCATTTGTCTGAACCTGTCTGACAATCATTTACTTCTGGGGTGAGTATGCAGCTCAGTGGTAGAACATACGCTGCCTAGCATAGCAAGGGTCTGGGTTCAACCTCCAGTAACACACACACACACACACACATACACACACACACACAGGAGAAAACATTCTCTTCAAAACTCAAAAGAAAAATCAGTTACATAACTCACAGGCCTTCATAGGGCATATAGTGCTACAAGTTTACAAGTTCATGGAGTTTCTCCATCTTGGAAAGTTGTTAAAAATGTGACCATCCCACCATCAAGGAAAAAGTGCCAATAGCATATTCTAGATGAAAAACTGACCTGATTGATGGAGTTGGCAGCACAGGATGCAAGGCCTGTTCCAAGAGAAGTAAGCAGGAAACATGGCCAGTCAAAAGGACCCGGAGCCAATGCAAATCCGGCTGAAGTGGTGCTTACAACCAGAGCTGCAATACAGAAACAGAGTGGACACAGTGTTACCAGCAGGATTCTTGACTGTATAAGCCAAAATGACAAAGAAGCCAACTTCCTCATAAACTCGTCAGTGACATTCATAATGCAAACTATAGGCTGATTTTTCATATTAAAAAAAAAAATCCACACTTTTTTTGTGATAAAAATCTTACATGTTACATGTATTACAGAAAAATATTAATTTTCTTTTAACTAAATTATACTCATGAGTAGAAAATAAAACGGGTTTTCCAAATTCATTCATTTACTAATTCATTCAACATTTACTGAATACCAAATTCATGATCACCTGACCTAATTCACAACAGATCTCATCTAAGTCTAGGCAGTAGACACTATAAAGGATAAAGATGCATATGGTGTCATTCTCACTCCTGCCCTTGGGTTGATTCACAGGGAGGTGATAAACATACATGAATAAACATAACATATGGTAGCAAACTGTAAGGATCCTAATTCTGTGACAAATTTCAGACAAGGGTAATAGAGAGCTTGCCTATAATGGATGATGGTACTAAGTTCAGATGAGGGAGATATTAATTGTACAGTGACTGACAGGAATCAAAGGAAGAGCAAAATGCAGAAGCAGAAGTATGCAATTCATATATCCACCAAGGGTACTCTTTTCTGGTAGACTGTTACCTCTTTCTTGGGGTTTACAGAAGCTGACATGGCCAGAAATTGCCTAAGAGAAATACCGATATGGGGCAGTAGGAATCATGGGAAAATGTTCTGCACTGGTGAGCTAATCTGAGAAATCTTTAAGATGACACTGAAGCTGGACCTTCAGCAGGCTGTGGAAAGAAAAGAAAGGAATGGTAGAATAAGCAGCATAATAGATAATGCTAACAGACAGGCACACAGGCAAGGAAGAAGAATGTCAAGAGTGCCACTACTAATAAAGTATGTGTAACAAAGACTCACAAATCAAAATGCTAGAAAGCATTTCTGATTCTCTCCTTTCTCACCCTCAATATTCCATTTATTACAAAATATTATCTATTCCACTTCTACCATGTGTTTCAAACCTATCACTACTGTCACCATTGAGTCCAGGGCTCCCATCAGGTTTGATTTTGCTTTCCAGGGGACATGTGGCAATGTCTGAAGACAGTTTTGAGCATCACAAGTAGAGAGGACAGGGCTACTGTCTTCTAATAGGGAAAAGCAGGGTATGCTTCTTAACATTCTGTCATGTAAAAGACAACCTACAGACAGAATTTTCTGGCCTATGGCTTCAAGAATGCTGAGACTGAGAAATCCTGATCCAGTCCAAGCCCTTATTACGAGTGCCTCCTCCCAACCTGGTCTCCTTGCTTCCACCCTACCACCCTGCTTGCCTCTAGAGAGGTGTTTTTTAAAATATAAATGGATCACACTGTTTCCCTGCTTAGATAAATATCTTGATAACACACCTGGATTAAAAATAAAAGCTCTTTACTTTGCCAGTAAGTGTAGCTCACATCTTCCTCTAGCTCATGCACTGTTCTTCAATCATAAAGACCTTCTTCTGTTCTTTGAGCCTCTTTCTAGCCTCTGCCTCTTATCCTTTGGATTTCATCCATGAGATTAATAACTAGAGAAAGCTTTCCTGATCATGTCATCTAAAGTAGTTGCCTAATACTGTCTTACTCATGTCATCATTTTATTTTCTTTAACACACGAATCACATTCTGGCTCTTCACAAGAATGTAAGATCCATGAAGGCAGCAGCACTGTCTTGTAGTTCACTGCTAAATTTTCAGGGCTACCACTATGCCAGGCATAGAGTGTTATTTATTGGAGGAAGGGGAGGAAAAGTAGTGGCCACCAGATTTATAATAGTCACCTGAGGAGTTTGTACTTTGTTTCCTGGTCAGCAGAGAGTCTCTGACAGTCCACTGCAAGTAAGTGACCTGAGTGAAAGTTCAGCCTGGTGGCAACAAGCATGGCAACTTAAGCAGTCTTGCAAGAAAAGTAATCTATGATGCTGTAATGTGGAATTAAAGGGCCATTTTGATTCGAGAATTATTAGGATCTTGTAATTATGAGAGATAAAAAGTCAAAGCAGTAACAATGAAGAAGAATTAAAGGGAAAGTACTAGACTTAGTACTGACATGCAGAGGAGCCAAAAACATTAGCAGAAATAAAGAAATCAAAGAAGAGGTAATGAAAATGGCTGGTCTTAGAAAGCTGCTGCTTTTGAGAAACGATGGGACATCAAGGTAGAATTAGTTAGAAAGTGAGGCACAAAACTCTGCAATCACTTGCCTAAGGTCATGGCTGAACCCGAGGGGACAGAGATTATCAATGGGCAGCCAGTGCAGCAGAGAGAAGTGTGTGAGCATGTCATGTCTTTAGAGACGAGAGGAAGGACAGAATAAGAGGAACAGACAAAGAATATTTGGAGATAAGAATCAGGAAGCCAAGGTAGCATGGATGTCCAATAAACACACAAGGAGCCACAGGAGGAAAAAAAAAAACAGGGAGATACCACTACTGATATCAACTGGTGTAATGATTTGGATATTATTTATATCCCCTCGCAGAAGGCTCATCCTCTTGGTTGTGTTTAACAGCAGTTTGCAAGATGACTCTTGTATATGTACTAAGATTACTGTCTGTGTCATCTCATCATCACTCTACTTGTGACAATCATACCTGAGATAATAGCTTATAAAGAGAAAAGGGTTTTTTTAGTCACAGTTTTAAAGGTTTTAATCCCACTGCTTTCAGGCTTGTGGCAATGTAGAAAATTATGGCAGAAGTAGCAAAGCAAAACTACTAATCTCATGGATGACACACAAAAGAGAGGAAGAAATAGAAAGGACCAGGGTTCCATAATTCCCTTCCAGGGCACACTCTCAATGACCCATTGACTTTCCACTAGACCCCATCTCTTAAAAGTTCTACTATCTTCCAACAGTGCCACTCGAGAGAACAAGACATTAACTCACTAGCTGAGGGGAGACATTTAAGATTCAAACTATATCACTATCTAAACTACACATCTCTAAATAGCATGTATTTTGGGCAGAGGCCCTTTCTTCAACTTAGTAGCTCCAAATGTGGTATACATTTAAAACTTCCAGGAGAAGACATACCTCCAAAAAAAAAAGAAAGAAAGAAAGAAAGAAAGAGAGAGAGAGAGAGAAAGAAAGAAAGACAGATGCACAGATTTAGGCACGTGGAAGACCAAGGTTCAGGAGCAAGGATGTGGGTTTGGAAAAAGATTACAAGAGGGTAAGCAAAAGATTAGAAGGTAGAGGCAACGAAGAGGCTCATCAGAAGTCACACAGGCACATACATCCAGGCACAGAGTACTTGTAGAGAAAAAAGCATGCACCATGTGCTCCACATCCTCCTCTGTGTATGGGAGACATCCTGTCTGACCAGATATGGCACTGTAAGTCATAACACAAATGCACACAACGTACCTAACAGCACCTAACAACCACATGAAGCAAGGGCAGCAAAAACAGAATACTTATTTCAAAGGAAACATTCTGAAATAAATTTTTAGCTCTAATTCTGTTATGACTTTTGCTCCACAGAAAATGCCATGGTGATTTCAGGCTTTGAAAATCACCAATAGTTGGAGAGGGACATTTTACTCATGTGTCAACAAGGATAAACATCATATAGAATCCAGCTAGTTTTACCTGTACATAATTAATGACCATCAAAAAAAGTACTACACATTTTTGAGCAAATTACAAAGCTCCCTTTAGGATATTCCAAGAACAATGCTCTTGGGAGCATTTTCTATCTTTACAGCTATCACACCATAAACTGAAAAGCCTCATGGACAGATTGGTGCTACTCCAGATGAACTGGGCAACTCCTCACATATTGCAGTGTCTCAGTGACAAGCCAGGACTAGAAGAACAATCTTTAATACCCAGGCTGCTTCTCACTGTACCAGAGGAATTCTTGCAGACAGTATGAAAGGCTGATGATAGTGGGGAAATTTGAGGGAAGAGAGACTGGGATCCGCCTTCTAAAAATCAAACTAAACTGCTTCTGTCCACAGGGTTAATTAGTAAAATAATTACTGACTATATTTTAAGGTCTTGACCCTTAAGCCAAAAATAGGCTACTCATAAACAACTGTAGTTAAAATAAAATCCACTATAACTTTCTCAATATATAATTAGTAAAATGCAGAATTATCAAAATAAAAGAACTACTTTAGATATCTCTAAATATCCAGATCAGCTTCTGTATTACGTTGTATAAATATTTAAAAGTCAACTGCCATCAAAATGGCTAAGTGCCATAATCATTGAACTATCAAAAATAAAAATGCTCTAAGAATAAAATTCACTTTGTTTAAAGTTAAAAAGGTATACAGTAACATGAAATAAAAGCCTAATCAGAAGAGCAAGTATCTTACTCTTTTTTTATTCATCCTGCAGCTTGATTGGATGATAAGCAACACTGAATACATACCAGATTTCTGACTAATGGATGTTCAGTACTGATAAATTGAGAAGTAACAGAAAGTAGTTAGCAAAACCTGACAAAAGAAAATAGAAAATGTTTTAAAAAGACATGACAATGACTAAATTTACAAAACAGAAATACTACCTAACGCTAAACTGTACAAATCAAAAGTGGTAATACATATCAGAGTGATAGCAACTATTATTACTGGAGAAGAGGAAATTTGAAATTTGTAACAATACAATTCTAAAAAGGCTCAAAAGCTAATAAAGGATGTATTTACTTACTTCATCAAAGCACTTAAATTAGAAGAGAAGGGCAGAGAGGATTGATAAACTGTACAAGTAAAATTGACCAAAGCAATATTCTCATACAACTCTGCCACAACTGTAATTAAACTTTTCATTGATTTCCTGGGATTCATTACATGGAATCATTCTGCAACACCAGGATCTCATTAAAAGTGAATGTAATATATTCTTTCATTAATAACTCTTGAAATTATATTTTATTTGGTAATTTCATATTCTGTCCTTTCACAAATAA